TGTGTCAATTGTGTGCACAACGGTGTTCGTTCTTCCTAGCACCGCTTGGGGAAAGTCAAACGAACGCTTGAATTCGTGCAGCAGGGTAACAAGCTGCTCTCGTTGAGCCGGGGCGAGATGGCTGTCAATAGAATGGTGAAATGCATTGGTAGACACGCTGTTCAAGGCAAAGTGAGGAACCAACGCGTTCAGCTCCATATTCGGCTTGGTGTCGAAGAAATCGGCAAGCACGATAGTACCTTCATCGATGAGCTGAATGTGGCCGAGCGTCTCGTTGCGGCGCAAACTGAGGGGGCACGAGTTGGGATTGGAAATAAATATCCCGGTAGTGTCTTGACAAAGCTCAAGAACGGCGAATGGCAGCGATATGTGGTGGCGGCTACCGAAGATGTCAGATGGCGTGAATAGGACGGTAGCGTCAGAAAGTGAAGCACAGCAGGCAGGGACAAACTGGGCGCTGAAAGGAGGAAGGTCTATGTCCGTCGCGACGACAAGGTTAGCCACACTAGATACGGCCGCATCAACAGAAGGCGCATCACCAAACGGTAACAGCTCCACTTCGGCCCGAGCGCAGTCCACGACGGCGTGATGACGTGATAAAAAATCCCATCCTAGGATGACATCGTGGGAACATGAAGCCAACACGTGAAATTCAATAGTGTATAACACGTCTCGAATCACAACTTTTGCTGTACATGACGCGACGGGCTCAATTTGTTGGGCGCTCGCAGTACTAAGAGAAACCACGGGAGAAAGCATCGTCACTTTACGAAGAGAGCGGCAGAGTCTCTCACTAATCACAGATATCGCGGCACCGGTATCGATGAGTGCGAGTGTTCGTACACCTTCGACGAATACATCGATAAGATTGGCGGGAGACAGGCGAGGACTTAAACGATTAGACGATGACGCAGCTCGTGCCTCCGGAGCTGTGGCAGTTAGTTTTCCGTCTCAATGGAGGTGGGTCGTCGACGCATAGGCGACACGGAACGACGACTTGGTAAAGGTGAAGGCGAGCGGGAAGTAGAACGCCTAGAAGCGAATGTTCGGGCGCCGGAAGCAGTTTGCGCATCGCGTTCGTGAACTTCAGGTGGTACGTGAGGCGCGTGGTATAGAGGTCGAAACGAATAGTCAGGATATCTTGGTGCGTTAACTGTGAAGCGCCGGCGACATAGACGTGCAACGTGACCTGGAATTCCGCAAAAGTAACATATAAGCCGGTTGTCAGCGGTGCGCCAAGGATTTCCGGCGTGTTGCTGTGGAAACGGCGCGGTGGACGGTCGCACAGGTTGTGGCGTATACATTGGCAGACGAGATGCAGGAGGCATTGCCGCGACGGCCGCATAAGTCAGTGGCGCGGCAACAGGCGTTGGTTGAGAGGCAGGCGTAGGTAATGGCAACGCCTCGGAGACCTGCTCCTGAATAGCCTGTCTTATTGTCGGCGTTAGGCGGTTCGTTGGTGCTTCGGTGGTCGGCAGATACGAGAGACATGAAAGTTGTCGTGCGACCTCTTCGCGTACATATTCTTTTATCTGCTCCAGCAGGGAGCTGTCACCACCGACGGCCAGGGCAGCGAGAGAGTCGTCTGCAGTCGTCGACCTCCGAACTGCTGCACGTTGTTTCCGAATCTCTTCCAAGCTCTGGCACAAGGTCACAAGTTCGGATACGGTACTTGGGCTCTTTGCCAGCAACATTTGATAGGCATCATCGTCTATGCCTTTCAAGATATGCCTTATCTTGTCATGTTCGGTCATCTCAGGGTTGAAGCGCCGGCATAAATCGATTACATCTTCAATATAGCTTGTGAAGTTTTCGCCCTGCCTTTGTGCACGTCCGCGTAGGCGCTGCTCAGCACGCAGCTTGCGCACTGCGGGGCGATCGAACACAGCTGCGAGGGTGGTCTTGAAACGGCCCAAGTGATAAATTCAGTGCGGTGGTTTGTGAACCACAGGCTGGCGACGTCTTTGAGATAAAATGGGACATACTCTAATTTCGAGGGGTCGTCCCACTTGTTGGCGGCGCTCACCTTCTCAAACAGCTGCAACCAGTCCTCCACATCTTGGTCCTCGGTGCCACTGAAGAAGGGCGGATCTCGTTGGCGCAGGGTGGTAGGCACGATGACCAGTTGAGATTGGGCCGTGCTTTGCTGGGTGGTGCCTTGCTCGGTCGTCTGATCAGGCATTGCTGATGTAGTGGGCAGTTTCCGGCTTCGAAGTTCCAGGTTTGCGTACCCAGCACACTTCCACCACTTTGCAAGGGGGTTTATTAGCGACGCCAGGTAATAGGCAGACAGCCGGTACAGAAACAAATGCTCGGGCAGTCCAGTGTCTACAGCTCGTGCTCGCGCTTCGCACTCAGCGATGGTCCCACTATCATTGCCTTGCGAATTCCCCACAACACAGGTATGAACGACATTTTGACCCAATTCAATACAAAGAACCAAGATGTTGATGCTGCTAGCATTGCAGTCCAATGACAAACGCATCGCACAAAAGAATTAGAACCAACCTGCCGATTGAGTATATGAAAGTAACGGCATTTTCCAATCATACACTACAACAGCGGTAAAGATAAGCACCTCACCTATGCAAGTACAACTCAGACCGCCTTTCCGTTTTCTCGTATATATCTTTTAGCTGAGTGACCATCTAAATGAATTGGGGTGTTGAGGAAATTATATCTATGCATCTCTCTGGAACATGCGCGCATGCTTGCAGAGCATAGCATAGCTTTCTACAGTATATACAGCGGGAGATGGAAGAGTAGTAAGGAGGAAGGAGAGAAAATGATTACGAAACGAGACAAAGATAAAGGGACGGAAAGAAAGAAGGCTGGAGAACGACCAACAGTGATGGAAGCGACATTTTACTTTTTGGAGCAGATTCTGAAGCATGAAAAAATGGTGCTTTGGAGCAGCCTTAAGTGTCTTCGGAGCAGAAAAATATGCTATAGCTCAGGGTTTCCATTGGTGTTTTCGGAGCAGATGCATGTTCCTAACGACTCCTGAAGTCCAAAAAATCACTTAAGCATCTAATAAATATTTATATTTATTATTAAACATGCCGTACGCTAGTATGCAGCTGGTATACGAGCAGTAGGCATAAATCATGGGTGGTGGTGGGGGGGTGAGGAGAGTTTGGACTTTCCTGGTGAAATTTAGCTTTAGCACATGATATAATAAGTCAACAGTAAAGCATAGCGTAATAAACTTTTTAAAAGGCTTTTTATCTTCATGCGCACCTGTGTTAAATTCCGCTCAGCTGTGTGAGCTGTGAAAATCGAAAAAAAGAGACTGAATAGAACAATGCAATTCGAGCTGTCACCCCTTGCTCATTTTTAAAAATTTTATTGAAAGTGTGATTTAATTTCTATGTAAATAAAAATACAACTCATATTAAAAATATGAACACCATGGCCAAATATGTGTCGCCCCTTCGGTATTTTTCTGGATTTATGCCCCTGACTAGCATACTAAGGATGACAGTGTATACAGCTTGCCATTGGTTTTGCTTAAGCTTACAGGATGGTCCCATAGTTTAACTTCATTCTTTTTAGTTCGCCAACATCCTTTCGGAGCCGGTTTGGAGCAGTTACTAGCAAATATTGCACGTTGGAGTATCATGGAGCAGCATTTCTCTTTTGGAGCAGTTGGAAGAAATTGGAGCAGCACTTCCGTTACTGGACTAAAGAGAAAGTGAAAAAAAAAAACATAAGGAGAAAAAGAGAGAAAGAAAGAGAAGAAAGCTGGACGGAGAGAGAGAATACAGAGAACTACCCTGGCCGACTGCAAAACGGGAACTTCGCTAAGTCGAAAATATGTATCGTGGACATTATTTTCTACACACCGCAATATGAAAACAGCGCTCATTAAATGCCCAGTTGTTGTCCCTTTCATTGCAATTTGTTCAGCAAAAGATTAATTAAATTGGGTGCATGCGCGGCAATTTCTTTTGAATATCTGAAGCACAGTATAGTGACTGCACCTTTGCAGACCTACTTGGAAAGTGCCGCATGTGTGGGACTTGAAATTGATGACTACGAAAGTTGCAGTTAGACATGCTAATAGTACAGCCGGCAGCTTCTAAAAGTTTATTATTCTCAGAGCATTTATTTAGATTCTTTACACCTATGTATAACCTGCTGTAACCAACATCAAATTCATATATATAGCTCAATGTGAGCTTCAAGTTGCTCACTTCATTTTGCTTCAGGATTAGACACTACATTTTATTGCGATAGCAATTATATTGACACTCTCGGATGGATTTTGCTGCCAGCGTCAATGTCATGCACCGTATATGTATAGGTATATACGTATATATATATATATATATATGTATGAAAATCCAAGAAAGAAAAAAATTCAGAAAAAAGACATCTGCACGCGGAATCGAACATGGGATCTCTGCGTCTTGAATACGAGGCTGTTAACCACTGAGCCAGCGAGAGGTACCTTCAACATTAAACAGCAAGCTATTTATATAAACCACTTACCGCTATTGTCGGGCATCTCGAGGGGGAAACGATAGTTTTTAGCATTATCAGCAAGATGGCGCAATAGCGCACGGCAGCTCTCATCTCTCATACGTACTTTGTCCCGCGAAGAGGAGGGAAGTGGACATCCCTCACGCTCTCTTATCTCCTGTGGGGAGGATCATGCGTCTTGGCTGGCAGTTAGGCTTGCACTGGAACGATTCTGTTGTAGTTACGGGGCGCACAAAGGTCATTGCCATCGTTGCACAGCCTCTGTTTGCGAAAAGTGTGCCCTTTTCAGGCACACCAAAGTAACGACTAAGAAGCTTATTTGCGTTCATCTGTACCTGTGAGTACGTTTTGTGTGTTATTTGTGCGTGAGGAACACTGGGCACGTTTCGTTCTGCTTGCTATTCTAGCGCGTGACTTTCAATTTGTTGCTATTGCGTTAATTGCTTCGCCTTTGCGGCGAAGTTGTGACTTATTTACTAAAAAATCAAATGTAACATTAATGAAACAACACATTCAAATTTTGAAAATGTAACTGTAATGAATTCCTTTTGCATTAAAAGAACTTGTAACAGGAACTCGTTCCGAAATTGAGTAGGAATGAGGAACAGAGCTTTTGTTCCTGTTTTAAAGGAACAACACTGCGATAGAAGAACCTACACTGCAGTGTGTACACCAGTGCGATACTGCTGTGAAATTGTGCACCATAAGCATAAACAAGAAACCCAGGGGACAGGTTGGAGGGCTCCGTGCACTAACTGTAATGTCTTACAAGCACAATCACATCATGCAAACAGGCATAACAGCAGATTTTGTAGAAACTGGCACTGTTATCAGGTGTATTCATTTCAACCAATGAACTTACAAGAAATAAAACAAAGAGAAGCAACACCCGAGACTGTGGTAACCAAGGTTGCACAACTGCACTGACAGGGCACATGACCACTTTAGCTCAAACCCTACCAGTTCAATAAGCACATACACTTGCTCTGGCTGCACGCACAAGGCTTCACATTCGCGAAGTTTATTTTTATTCTCGTCGCTGCCACTGGCGCGAACCGAGGAATGCAAAACAAGGAAGCCGTGCTGTGCAACTAAGGTTTCCCCCTGCTGCCCAGACGCTGGGGATCCTGAGACGGGTAGTGAATGAGGGCGCGCATGAGTGGCAGCGGCGGGGGCACGGTTCCCGGGGGCGCGAGTCCAGGGGGAGGCGGTAGTGGCGGGGATAGCACAGCCTCGCCCGGGGGTACGAGGAACGCCGTGGGCGGCGGGGGTGGTGGCGGGAACGGGACTGGAGGCGGGTGAAGCGGGGCCAGGTTGAAGTAGTTGTTGGCCAGCTCGTCGGGTGGTAGCGGCAGGGCGCCCGGTAGGCCCGGAACAGGCTCGAGCGGCGGTCCCGGGGGTCTACCTTCGGCGCCTTCGGGCCCCGAGGGTGTCACCTGGCGCGCCAGCGGGCGCCCCCACTTGATGACGAGTCTGCGGCCGCCGAGGATGAGCTTGTTGAACGTTTTGTCGGCGGCCAGCTCGGCACTGACGCGGTTGGTGAACTGGACGAAGGCGCACTGCTGCCTCGCCAGCATGGTCACGCCACGGATCTCGCCGTACTGGTAGAAGTGGTCGCGCAAGTCCTTCTCCGTTAGCCGGTCGCCCAAATTGCCGACGTACAGCGTGGTGATAGAAGTGTCCTCCGGAGGCTCTAGTTTGGGCATGGCGGCTGCCCGACGCAGCAGTTTGTCGGCCGACGGGGTCGTTCACGCCATAGTAGCGGTCGCGGATGTTCTGGTCGGCCAACGGATCGTCCGGGTCCGTGGGTTTCTCGTGCCGGTACGGGCACTCCTCGCCTCTCTTACACTCGCCTTTCACCCAGAAGCTGCAGATGTGTGGCCTGTTGCGCTTGTAGTAAGGCGTGGTACGCGCCAGCTTCATCAGAAGGTCGCTGGGGCTCTGCGCCTTGGCGAGGGCCCCGTACGGTTGGCTGGGGTCGCCATCAGCCACGGCGCGCTTCCATGTTCTGCGAGTAGTACTCCTTATTGACGTCCGACTTGGGCATGTCATCCCGCAGGCTGAGCGCATTGTCGCGCACCTGCACCGGCAAGCCGTAGTCCAGGTCCAGCAGGCACGTCTGGCACACGTTCTTCAGCTTGCTGCACGTCTGACAGACTTCGGTCTTCTTGAAGCGCATCCGGCCGCCGGGACACCACCGGAATACGGTGAAAGGGCGCGAGCATATTTTGCACTCCTTGCCGAACCGCTCTTTGGTCATGCGTACGTACGGGTTATCGCCCAAGCATGTCTGGCAGAGGATGGGGAATTCGGCTTCTTCCCAATTGAGCCGATTGTAGGTATTCGCACTTTTCGACGTCGCCATTTTTCGCAATTCGCGTCAGCGCGTACTACACTGTTGCTGGCCGAAAGGCAAGACGACTACCAAAAGACGATAAAAAGTTTCCTAAATAGCTCCTCTACACGTACCAAACATTCATAATTATGGGTTCAAACCAAATTATTTTACTAATAAGCACCTAGTTTAGTAGAAATTTTGTTGTTTTTTAGCGTAAATATAATTTTAAATAAAGCGTGCCAGAAGTTACCGGTGACGGCATTGCGAGCCACAAGGAATGAAAGCCAAGGCAATCCATTCCTTCTAAGCGCGTGTTCAGAAGGATTGAGAAGGTATGGACCCATATCCTATTTCATTAGCCATAAATTGGTACGTAATGGCCTCCAACAGAATTAATGCCTCGATAATGGCATCAGTTTTGCGGTGGCCTGCAACAGCAGTTGTTTAAATTGCTGTCTGGCGGCTTAGCGTTATTTACCGTAGCTGACAAATTCATTCATTCGCGTTTTGTAGATTCACTGGCGCGGCATGGCCCCACAGTAATGTCGCGTATTCGCTTCGAATGTTTCGTCTTATCTGGGTGCTGTGAATGCTTGCCACGCACCCGGAAAAAGCCATTAGCAACGAATTCTGCTTGGCGGATGCGCGAAACACTGGGTTAGGCTTCCTTGCGTGAAAGATGAGACGCGAGACCACTGCGCGCTGAGCTCAGTTACATCCCGACTGGCGCGCAGCTCAGATGTTTTTTTTTTTTTTACTTTTTTTCCCCCTCCATCGTTCGTCCTCTTCGGGAACCTTTTTCTGGTGAACGACGTCTGCTTTCGTGAACGCCGCAGAAGCCTCGAATAGTCGGCAGGTTATTTCCCCATTCAAGTCGGTTGTGTGGCTTTGCGAGTGAAATGTCACTTCAGTCTCGTATCGTACTTACATGGTGTCTTTGATGTTACCACGCTCGACTGCCACCGAAGGTTCAACGTAGCGCCATATTTAAATACCGTAAAATTGCTGGCGCCGAAAACAACTACTATGTCGTCTTTCGTTCTTTTGATAGATGTGCAGATTCCGTCTGTGCCGAAGTATTGGCGATTTTAGACGTCTACTAGCGCTGCTTTGGTAAGAGCGTTGTCTTTTGTGGCTGTTTCCCCCGCCATAATTTGTGGCGACGCGAGGAGCAGTTTTGTGTCAGGTGTGCGTCGTCTGCTGTTGCCTTGTGTCCGAAGCAGGTGGTCCGGTACAATATTTATGGTGAGCGCTTTTTTTCAAATGTTGGATAACTTTGATGGATTGGGCAAGATGTTGCGACAACCGTCACTTTGACGAGGCTTGGGGTGCCGTGATATGTGCAACAACCTCCATTTTGGAGCAAGAGCAGCAATGGTAGTGCTCTACTTTGTGCTTTGTCTACCATGTTTTTTTTTTTTTCAGACTCAGGCAGGTGCCTAGTTCAAAAGCGGCTGTAGAGACCGCGGCAGTCGGGGTGTGTGATAGACACCGACATGACAGGTGATTAATTTGTTATGCGAAAGCAGCTAGTGCACACAAAGAAGTTGTAGTCTTTGTTTGTTTGGCTTTTGTTACCTTGCATACCCGATGTTAAAGAAGTCTGTCGTTTTAATTTTAGTAATTGCATATAAAGCTCAAAGACACTTGGTTGTCGACAAACATTTTTCAAAGTGCCAGTAACAACCTGGTAGTCCAGAATTTCCAATGGAGAAATGACTGTGCACTTATATGATGTGACCATGCTGCCAAAGAACTTTGTGAATAAGTGCTGTAATAAGGAAGTTGCAGGGGTGTGAACGACCTGCCTTGCGTGGTTGCAGATGTCGAAAAAAAAAAAAAGGAAGTTAAACCATCATTTCATAAAGGTGTGTTAACCCTAGGTATAGCTGCAATGGTATTGATAAAGACAGTATGATTCAGCAAATTTCACGTAACATTGCTATATAATAAAATATGCATTTTTTTCCAAGCATGAATTACTAATATTTTTGTAGATCACAATATATTGTTAGTATTATGAAGTCTTGGTTTGGAACACTCAGTGTGGGCATTTAGTATACCAATCCTCTTCATCTGTACATCATCATCATTATCATGTATTGCTCATGCATCCTCATCATTGTCACGTATCATCATCATCTTGGTTCGTGCATCTCCGCTGTCGGCTGCCGGTTCCTCGGGCCTAATAAAGGTCTTCCAAACCAAGACTTCATACGTGGTGGAGGTGCGGGGTAAGAGGCACGACGCACACAGGCTGCAGATCGGCAACGCAGGCGACAGTAGTGCCCCGCGGCAGTAAAATTTTATCTGGTGTGGTGTTCGTAGCAGCGAGGACAGCTGATCCATTGTTGAAGCGAGCCACACCTGATGCGAGAGCTATGTCTTTATTGAGGCAACGGGGCGATGGAGTGACCGAAATGTCACCAGAGTCAACGTCGTTGGACAAAACAGTGACTAATTGATGTTCATTTGGGGGTAACTCGATGTCTACAGCAGCGAGGAGTCGAAGTGGCCTGTAGGTTTCGTCACTAAGCAAGTGGTCTGTGTCAGTAAGATGGACGACACGTTGTGCACAACAAATAGCCGCGGAAGCAGATGAAGAAAGTCCCAGCCTAAAATGAGTTCGTGGGAGCACGGGGATAGCACAGCGAATTGTATATAATGAAGAATGTCGTCGATTAGCACACGGCAGTACAGAGAGCGGAAGGGCGAATCATTGTTCCCTGGGCTGTAACCAGTGTTGGTCCATCATAAGGCGTCGTGACTTTTCGAAGACGGGTACACAAATCAGCACGAATAATAGAAAACCCAGCCCCAGTGTCCACCAAAGCATCAACGTCCACTCCCTCAACTGAGACTGCAATCATATTGTAAGGGCGCGCTGGAGGAATTGGAGTACTGTGTTGGAATGCAGTTTGTCCTCCAAAAACTGCATCGCTTAGTTTTCCGGACGCCGATCAGAAGCGAGGGAAGCAGGCGTAAGAGGAGCGACGGTAGGGGCGATGGTGACGGCGTCTGGTTGATCGATGACTACTGCGCAGTTCACCGGATGCTGGCGGAGATGGAGACCGACGCGGCGGTGACGAATAACGACGGCCCTGGTACAAGGCTCCTGCGGTATAGTCTCGTTCGCGTATGTCGTACCCTCGGCGCTCATCTTGCTGGCGCTTGCGGCAAAAGCGTGAAATGTGACCACGATAGCCACAATTACAGCACGTAGGGCGAGTCGATCGATAAGAAGGGTAGTAGCTTGTGTTAGATGCACCGGGAGAGAGAGCAGTGAGAGGGACAGATGATGGCTCAGGCGGTGGTGATGGAAAGCTCGTGGGAAAACTTCTGGGAGGTGCGGCAGCAACCGACGCGTACGTTGGTGGCGGCGGCGTCAAGCTGACGGTGCCTGATGGTGCGGCGACGGCATGCGAGAACGATGGGAGAGTACGAGCGACAGTGGGCTGCAGGTGGGCCATGTGGGTCATGGACCTGAGCTCCTCCCTGATGACATCCCGCAATGACGTTGAAGAAGAGTGCATGGGACACACTGAAGGTAGTGTGAATCCCATTGATTCTAACTCTTCGCGTATAATCACCCTTATTGTGTCTCGTAGGTTTGGATCTGCCGTAATACGGGCTGCGTCACTGTCCCGTTGTAGGCGCATAGACTCGAGTTCTTCGAGGCGCTGACAGGTTGTCGCAACGTCAGCAACAGTAGCTGGATTCTGGATTGCAAGGGCATTGAATGCGACGGGTGCAATCCCCTTAAGAAGCTGGCGTACCTTGTCTGACTCTGTCATTGGGGTTTCAACCCGACGGCAAAGTGAAAGGACATCCTCGATGTAGGATGTATACGACACGCCGATGTGCTGTTTCTGAGCCGCGAGAGCTTTCTTTGCGAGAGCCGAACGAACAGTCGGTGTGCCAAAGACATGCCGAAGCTGATATGTGAAGGCGGACCAGTCGGGGATGTCGATGTAGCGGTTGAGGAACCACGTCTTCGCGACACCCGTGAGGTAGAATGACACGTAAGCGAGTTTGTAGGTGTTATCCCACCGGTTAGCAGCGCCAACACGTTCGAAATCGTCTAGCCATTCCTCCACATCTTCCCCGCGCATACCGGCGAAGGGATGGGGCTCACGCTGGGGGCTGTTAATGACGTGAAAACGCGCGGCACGCGGCGGCGGAGTGGGAACGGTTGCAGCACCGACCTCTTCTTGGTGCGACATATTTCCGGACACCTGGCCCAAGCGGCGACCTGAACGTAGCTCCAGGGGGTAGAGTGGTCGAGAGGATGACGAGGGATCTAACAGCACGCTCCACCACATATGAAGTCTTGGTTTGGAAGACCTTTATTAGGCCCGAGGAACCGGCAGCCGACAGCGGAGATGCACGAACCAAGATGATGATGATGATACGTGACAACGATGAGGATGCATGAGCAATACATGATAATGATGATGATGTACAGATGAAGAGGATTAGTATACTAAATGCCCACAGTATTCATGAAGTAGGGCTTTGTTAACATTAGAAACAGTTTCTGTATTATAGAAATATAGAGGTATGGAAACCATGCATAAGACACCAAAAGGAAAAATAGTGAAGGAGTACTGGCATAATTTGAAAAAAATAGCAAAAAGGACAATTTTTATTTGTTTGGCATTCGCTGTCAACGCTCTCTGCAAACTTGAGTCAGACAACACATATTGAATATTTTATTTGGACTTGGAAATTTTCTTGACTCTGGTATTAAAGATGGGACATTATCCTGATGAGACCTCTCCTTTCCCCTACCACGCCCCAGCCCCATCTTTTTCAAGTTTGATAATCAGTCCTTGAATCCCAATGCATTACCCTAGTGCTACTTAACTGCAGTGAACCTATGTTCAAATATCTAAATGGTAGTTCTCATAGTCATACTTTTCTGTTTCTTCGTACCTTTTTGCTCTGATTATTATGGAGTGCATATAACTTTTTGTTAAGAAAATAAACCCAGCCGTAAAATTTAACATACACAGGAATGGGACACAGGGGAACTGCTAGACTACCAACTGTACATTTCTTGATGCTATATACCAACTAAGCCCAACAGTGAGTGTTATTAGTGTATAATTTATTCTTTTGCACTGCCTTGTGGGCGACGCCAACCACTTCTCCTCTGGTCATGTTTGGTCTACCTGGAGTTGATGTGCAACGTCTTGTCGCCCATTTCTGAAGTACAACCGTTTTTTAGGGATGGTGACGCGGGTGCAGCCGCCACCACGGGGGTCAACGCTGTACCACATGCTTGAGGACAGCCAGGCGGCCATCTTCTGCTGTTGCTGTGAGGTGCCCTCGCCCGGCTGTGCTCGGCGCACTGCCTCTTCCTCTCCTCCGCTCACACCCCCTGACGACCCCAACAGCCTGGTGTCGCCAGCTTCACTGCCTTCATCCTCTTCGTCCTCGTCGCTGACAGTGCTGCCCCGCTGCCATCCGATACGTGAGTGCACGTTGTGTCTACTCAGTTCCGGCTACCTGAAACACTGAAGTAGCAGGACAGAACTGCAGTGATGTGAGTGCTGCTCCAAACTGGTCTAAACGGTAATTTTCTTTAGTAATTGCTCCAAACCTGCTCCGAAATTACACTGAGAGAGAATGGAAAACTTTTACTTTTCTGACTGACTCGTAAGTCCTAAAAAAATTGAAAAAAATTTGTGTACTGTCATCACAGTGAGCTACTAGTGGGAAACAATAATGGCGTTTATTTTGTTTATTTATTAGTACCTCAAATGCCCCATGAGGGCTCATACATGAGAGGTGGGTATATACTATATTTAGGACATGGTGGTTTCTATTGGTGCCTTGAAGGATGTATGACTGAAGTGGTGTTCTACGTCGGCAGGAAGACGATTCCAGTTCCTTGCAGTCTGAACAAAAAATGGTTTGGTGTGAGCGTTAGTGCAGGCTGCTGGGGGATAAACTGCTTCTGGGTGGTCAAGATGGGATGAACGATGCAAAAGTTCGATATTGGCCTGTTGATGGGGAAGGTGATAAAACTTATGGAAAAGACATAATCTTGGAGTTTTGCGGCGCTGTTCAAGGGTTTGAAGATGAAGACATGACTTCAGTTCGGTTACACTGGTGTGATAATAGTCCGATAAAACAGAGCTAGCTGCACGATTTTGTATTGATTCCAGCTCAAGAACTGGCGTGATAAATGTATTGCCCATTTGGCTGTTTTTTCGTTTTTTTTTCTGATTCAGGCATGCAGGCTAGTGTGGTGAAATGTGAAAATAAGCAGGATTGCTTTTATTTTATACTGAATATGTATATTGCTTATTAGGCAACAGATATATGAGACTGTGGTTACTTCTAAAATGGGGCGCTCAGCTTTTCCAGTTTGATTTGATTTCTGTTACAAGCACTAGTATTTTGTATTGTATCTAATTTCACAGCCCTATTTTGACAACCCTCCGTTGCTTGATTCATGAAATTTATGTTGATTATTTTCTGTTAAATATATTTCATACTAAATAATAATATTTACAAGATGCTTCGACAATTCCCGGAACTCCAAATAATGTTTTGCAAATTTAGTATCTGCTCCAAAACAGCAATAGCTGGTCCAGACTATCGTTTTTTTCTGCTCTGAAAAGTACTTATGGCGGCTACAACGCAGAAGGGTTCCTGCTCCCAAGTATGCTCTAAAAGTAAAAAGTCACTCCTATCACTGCAACTGTCAACCCTGAATTTTGAGTAACAGTTAACAGTCTCAACTTGATCTTAGCATAAGTTGTGAAGTGTCTTAATTTTGCTTTTTTCATTATGATGCCTATCTGCTTGGCTGGACATTTAGTTTTTTTTTTTTTTTGTACTGCGTGTAAAGGTAGGTATGGAGTGTTTAAATTTACTGGGAAACTACTATAGCTTCTTTAAATTTTTTTTTTATGATTTTTTCAGTGGTTTAAAAAGATCATTTCATTCAAAACTGAAATTTTGGCTAAGCAGCTTAGCCAAGTGTTGGCCGAATCGACTCTGTGATAGTGTCAGGCTGTACTTACTGCACACATTGTTGCTCTTGCTAAACTTCTTCACCGGGATGCAGATCACCTGAAGAAACCGGTGGTCACCAGTCACGACCAACGAAGAGGTCCCTATCTGACATGGGTGAGTATGCAGTGTCGGAATGTCAGTTTCCTGCACTTGTTAAACGCACGGATAGTTAACAAGCACTTAGTGTTAAGCGAGGTTGTTTAGTGTTAATGGGAGGACAAAGTTAGGTGTTTAGACATACGACACCTAGGAAGTTGATCCTGTGCTTTCACTGTTTGTGTGGCTGTCTCTGTTCTGTGATTCTCAGAAAAGTTTGGCATTCAGCGACTCTAGCACAGTGAACGTCCGATTTTTCAGATTCTCTAGGTGTCATGAGTTTGGTAAAACTTTAGATGTTTGTGCATATTGACATAAAGGGTCCCTGGAACACTTTTTTGAGTAACCATGGAATTGATTTGTGAAAAAGCACATTGCCTCACAAGTTCAACGCCGCAAAAATTTTAAGAATTCGTCCAGCACGAGCGGAGTTACACAGATTTGTCGCACGCTGTAATCGCATTCTCTCTTTTCCTGTCCCAACGAAAGCGCTGTAAGCCAAGCAGGCAGGGATAGGAGGGGCAAACAAAAGACGTCACGCGCGTCTTGTGACCTTGAGCACTTTTTTCCCAATCAGATACGCGGTGGCACGTGTACGTGTGGACTAGTGAAGGCCTTTGGCGGCGATTTCTGTAACAACCGAGTGCGCCATGTTCAAATCAGCGAATGGCTGATATATGGGTCATCTGCGTGTGGTTTTTGGGCATATTTCGTGATTTTTCAAGGGAAGAGAAAGCATTTTTTAGCTGACTTTGATAATTTATTGCGAATTTCAGGCCACGTGCTGCGCTACAATATTTGGCTCATGTGTTCTCGGAAGCCTCTACTACTGATCGGCAGCGTATTCTGACCATGCTGAAAAAGTGTTGCAGGGCCCCTTTAAATGAGTCTTGTGACAGGACCTCAAGAGTATGCGAATTCGAAACTGTATTGGAAAGATTGGGCATCCAGTAAATCAGCAGTTGACTTTGTTGCTAATATTTTTCTACTTCTTCTGTAGCTTTTCTTTTTTCTGTTTATCTTCTTTCATTTGATTTGCACAGAGTGAATGGTGTTACATGACAGCAGCCGCTCACTGGTGCTATTGTTTGTTTTGCTTTGTAAAATTGGTGTGTTTTCATTCGTAGGTGCAGCTCAGCAGCAGCAGCACAAGGAGGGTCCAGGTGATGCAGAACGCGACAGACTGTACTCGCCCTTCCGGCGTAGCCTGTTTCCAGGTGTCCCGCCAACCCTTCAGTTCTACTCTGATGGACACCAAGGCAAGTGTGGTGCTTTTGTTGCCCTTACTTGGGCTTCAAGGCTTCAGTGCAAACACCCAACCACCAAGGCACTCTGGCCACTGCTGCCGGTTTTCTTTTTCTTCACGACATTTGTGTCCAAATCACAAGTCCTGTATTTAAAAATGGACATTGCAACACCTTTTATGGTCAGAAAATGCTGCTAATAGGTAGCCGAGACTCCTGAGAGAATGTGAGCCAAATGTTATAGTGCAGCACAAGGCCAAGAATTTACCATAAATTCTCAAGGTTATCTAGAAATCGCTGCCTCTTCTTATGAAAAATCTTGCAGTGAACCCAAATGACGGCACCATAAGCCCGGAGTTTATGGCCATTGGGTCACTTGAGCGTTGTGAGCTGCTTAGTTGTCGCTGTTGACACAGGCTCCCACTACGTGCCTGAACTCACGATTGCACTAAAAGTGAGTGTCGCGTTCGAAGAAAAACAAATAGAAAATCTGCTCATTCATGATGTTCACTGAAGAACTATCGGCTTATTGACCCTTCTTCATGTCCTCTCTGCGTAGCAGTCAACGCTGGCTGGCGCAGAAGTAAAGAGATAGCATTTAAAGCAGGCTTTGAATCTCAAAATTTGCTCATACGTGATGGATACTGCAAATTTTTGCAGCCGTATATCCATGAGGCACAGAATTCATTTCGTGAAGTGATTCGATAAATCAAATTTTGTTATAGTGGACTTCAGATTGATGTTTTTTTTTTTTTTTTTTCAGATTAGCGAGTGTTATGAAAATCCCCATCCAGATGTTCATTGGACTAATGCAAAAATATTTCACTGCTATGAATTTCAGAATACCGAACATTTCAGAATAACGTATCAAATCTGTAGCCATTGTATGTTCTTTAGAGTTCAAAATAATGAATAGTGAATTTAAAAGGCTGTTTGCAGCAGTGGAAACAGTGGCCAGCTTCGTGCATGCTACTATCAATGAGATTGTCTGCGTTCCCTATGCGCTTGCTCTAATGAAATGTGCAACAGCCCGATCAGCATCACCATTGCCTGTTCTTGTTTTTTGCGTCAGGCCGCCAGGTTTTGCCTCCTTGCCTTCGTTTTGTCGCGCGTGTATGTCTGCACGCTTGTTGCGTGGTTGTTTTGTATACTTTAGCTTGGTGGTTGTATGTTCAGGATGAGCTCAAGAAACAGCATAAAAGGAATGCAGGGACAGTTCGAAATGCAATGCAAGCAACCATTGGGATGCAGTCACCAAGGATTACCTGTAAATGCTTCTGTAATGTTACAACATTACACGCAGTGTGATGCTGAAGGGTGCATGTTGGCTAAACTGTTGACAAATAAAGTCCAAACCATTTGTCGTGATAAAGGAAGTGGGATAAGAACGGCAAAAGGGAACACAATGTTGAAATAATGTGCAGAAACCAATGCGAAAAATTCGTATCTGACACCGATGCTTCAAAGTGCATAAAGCACTGTGCGCACTTCAAAGTGCACACACTCAATGGCATATCTCGCAGCAGTTGTGTGGCACTCAACGAGAAAATACCACCCTGTTGCTGAAATAAACTTTCCCACGTTCTGTAATACAGTTATACCTAGATATAACAAAATTGATGAAATCTCAGAAAAATTCGTTATAAGGAGGATTTCTTTATATACAGGTTCGGTGCAAAAATTTCAAGAACGTGCAAATGAAACAAAAGGGGGACTGAAGGCAGAGCTAACCCAAAACACTTACTTTGCAGTAAAAAAAACTGTGTTATTATTGTGATAGCAATTATATAGACACACTCAGCGGGTTTTCGCTGTCGCCGCCATGTTCCTAAACAAGTTCAGATTGATAACATGCCCCCGCACATAGTAACTATCACCAGCGGGGAAAAGCGCAAGCAAATGAGTCGGCCCATCCCTATTGCCTGGAAAGTGCATAAGATAACATTTCCCATGTGTTAACACTGCCATGGAATGTTCAAAGTAAACCACCCGTCTTGAACAAGCGTGAAACAACGCAGGGAGGGGCGGATGGAGGGATCGCTTGAGTAGCAATAATGAACTTGGATTTTAAGGGTGTCGCGATCACTGGCGCGCTTGCTATCTCGGCAAGTATCGGTGTAGTTTCTACGTGAAAGGATAGTGTGAAAAAAGCACTTTACTCGTTAAGGGTAAAGTGCTTTAAAAGCACTTTACCTTTACCCATGCACACGCGCACGTTGTCGGAAATGAAGAGTGAACAACACAGACACGAGTACCGCGGAAAACGATTTGGTTTTGATTTATTTTTATTTTATTTTGGTTTAATGCGTTTGGGGGGGGGGGGGGGGCACACCTGCGCGCACTACGTGCGCCCGCGGCAATGAGAGTGGCGGGTGGCGGCAACGCCGGCTCGTGGTGTGTAGTCCCGCCTGCCCGCATTACGCTCACCGGCGCGCAATAACGAGCGCTTGCTCTCACCTGGTGCGCCGTTCGTCAGCGGCGGAGCAGCTGCGGAAGATGCATGCCTGTATCGAAATGCGGAGCAAAATTCTTAGATCTGTGAGGAAAATTCGTTATATCAAAAGTTGTCTCCTGCTGTTACTTTGTTACATAGAGGTCACAAATACACGTGCTTCTATGGAGCAACGGCGGGGAATAGAAAAAATTCGTTATATATAGGAATTCGTTATATGGAGGTTCATTATAAGCAGGTTTAACTGTATTTCATGTTTGTTTTGGCACTTACTGGAAAATAATGCGTTCGTGGATGTACCGTAATTACTCGAATCTAACGCGCACCTTTTTTCCGGTTAAGCGAGTTCATAAATCGCATGCGCGTTAGAATAGAGTACGAACGAAAAAATTACGGTAAATCTATTGCCATCGGCAAATCCAAAATGGCCGCCCCCTATGTGCGTCAGCATGGCGCGTTGGCCATTTCCCATGTGCGGCACTTCGTACGTGTGCTGAGGAGTTCGTCATCTAGTAGTGCATTAGCATCGACGGCGCGGAAGGGCCGACTCTAAAAACTCGAGTGCACCATGATGCCGCTTTTAAAAGAAAAGTCATCGCGTTGTGCAGAAACGGACGGAAATCGGGCCGCATCGCGGTCGTTCGGAGTTCCCGAAACGTGCGTGCGGGACCGGCGGAAACAAAAGCAGAAGATTGTCGACAGCAAAGCTTCACGCAAAGGTTTCAGTGGACCACAGCAAATTAAAGAGCTGCTCGGCGAGTATGCGCTTGAACAGCGAGCGGCACAGCGGCCCGTGACGACAGAACTGCTCCAAGTGCGGCCTATGCAATTAGTCTTAGAAAAAAGTCTGATGCGGAGCCAGTTTAAAGCGAGCTGGTGCTGGCTAACTAGCTTTATGAAGAGGAAAGGCTTTTCCCTCCGAAGGGGAACATGCATATGCGAAAAGCTTTGCGGAGGAGTACGATGAAAAGCTTCACAGTTTTCAGAGGTTCGTCCTAAACTTGCGGCGCAACAACGGCTACCTGCTTGGGCAAATCGGGAATGCCGATCAGACGCCTCTTTACTTCGGCATGCCTGGCACCACAACCGTCGAGAAGGGGGCGAAGCAAGTTCGCGTGCTTACATCGGTCCACGGTAAAACTACAGTGACGGCAATGCTCTGTTACACGTCAGATGGGCACAAGCTTCGCCCGTACCTCATATTTAAATGGAAGACGCTCCCGAAAGGAGTCGTTTTTTCGAGTGGTGTGATCATGCGGGCCAGCGAGAAAAATGGGTGCGCGTTGCAATCGATGTCTTGCGTTTTTTTTTTTTTTTTTTTCGCTGTGGAAATTGGGTGCGCGTTACAATCGAGGGCGCGGTAGAATCGAGTAAATACGGTATACCCAGCACAAGCAAGCAAGTTACTTGGTTGTATTGAGGTCTTTTGTGTGAATTCCGTATAGTCGCGCTGCAATGCTTTTCAAAATAACGCATGTTTTTTAGCAGTCTCTAGAGATTCGTTGTACCGTCGAGCCCGCTTGTAACGAACCTGAGCCTGACGCGGTATCTGTTCTTCGGCTGTAGTGTCGGCGATGTCAAGCTTACTATGCAACGTAAATCCTGCGTGCCGGAAACAGTTGCTGATCGTGCCTGCTGACACTGCCTTCCAGGTATCGGCAAGCAAGCTCACGGCTGACATCAAATCATCGTTGTATTTTATCTGGCTCTCTAAGCAGAGCAACACGCGCTGCAGCAGGCATGAACGATACAGCACCTTCAAATTCTTGATGATACCTTGGTCCATAGGTTGCAGAATACTGGTCGTATTCGGCGGCAGGTATTATAGCTCGATGGCTTTCAGACAGCTGAACGGCGCATGGGCAGTACAGTTATCTACGAACAAAAGAACCTTGCGCTTTTGCAATTCAAACTTTCGGTCCAATTTTCTGACATACTCTTCGAACAGCTTCTGCGTGACCTACGCCTTCGTATTGGCTTCGTACCAGACAGGCAAATTTTCTTACCCTTAAAACATTGAGGGTTTTTCGATTTCCCGATTACCAGCAGCGGGAGCTTTTCCGTGCCAAAAGCGTTGCAGCCGACGACAGTGACTCGTTCCTTGCTGAGTTTACCTCCGTGGCAAAGTTCTCCAGAACGGGCGAGTGTCTTCTCTGGTAGTAGCTTTTAGAAAAGCCCGGTTTCATCGAGGTTGAAGGTGTCGTCTGCAAAGTAGCGCCGAAGCAGCTCCACCAACTTTCCACTGCGGTAGTTCGCTACCAGTGTGCTATCCACGGCACCGCTCTCACCGCACATTGTTCGGAAAGCGAGGTCGTACCGCTTTTTAAAAGTTCCGGAGCCAGCCATCGCTGAACTTAAATCCGTCAATGCCAAGGCGAAGTGCCAATGTTTCGGCCTTTTGCTTCAAGAGGTGGCTGGAAACGGGAACCCGTTGAGCGACGGTAGCGTTAAGCCAAATGCTCAATGCTTCTTCTAACTGTGGATGAACACCTTGGCGCACCCTCTTTTGTTCACTTCCGGATGATGTCTCCGTCGCGCCTAAAATCTTGTCCTTATTGTTCATGTAGTCCGATATGGTTTGCTTCGAAATGTTGACTCTCGAGCAACTTCGACTTGCGGACGACTACTGAGCATTTGCTGAATGATGGCTGCTTTCTTTGCCATGGTTAGCGTTGTATATCTGCCGCGTTTCGTTGGTGCGGCCTTTGGCACTGGCTGTGAGGGCACCGTTGGTGCCATTTAACTTCAGATCTTGTGAGACAGCTGGACGTAAAATAAAGCAAGTCTCAAAATAAATATAAACGCGCGCAGAATTCAGCAAAACGCTGTACCGCACTCACATGTGACAGAATGGCGGCAATAGCTGCACAGCGAGGGTATACAGGAACCAAAATGTTAGATGATCGGGATGTCGATACGATCCCCCACAGTTGAGCCGTGCCTCCAAGATCAGCATTTTCAAGTACAAATCTCTGAGGCATAAAGTTGCGATCGAAATAAAGCCTTATAGATTACCAATTTGCTTTCGTTTTGATCTCTGAGGCCATACTTTGTATGGTATGAGTGCCGGAGAAGATAATGGCTGCCAATTTGGCGTGCGCGACCGCCCCGCCGCGGTGGTCCTAAGGTACTCGGCGGCTGACCCGCAGGGCGCGGGTTCGAATCCCGGCTGCATTTCCGATGGAGGCAGAAATGTTGTAGGCCCAGCTGCTCAGATTTGGGTGCACGTTAAAGAACCCCAGGTGGTCTAAATTTCCGGAGCCCTCCACTACGACTTCTCTCATAATCATATAGTGGTTTTGGGATCTTAAACCCCACATATCAATCAATCAATCGGCGTGCACGACAGTAGGGCAGGGTTCGAATTACCGTATTTACTCGATTCTACCGCGCCCTCGATTGTAACGCGCACCCGATTTCCACCGCGAAAAAAAAAAAAAAAAACGTAAGACATCGATTGCAACGCGCACCCATTTTTCTCGCTGGCCCGCACGATCACACCACTCGAAAAAACGACTCCTTTCGGGAGTGTCTTCCATTTAAATATGAGGTACGGGCGAAACTTGTGCCCATCTGACGTGTAACAGAGCATTGCCGTCACTGCAGTTTTACCGTGGACCGATGTCAGCACGCGAACTTGCTTCGCCCCCTTCTTCTCGACGGTTGTGGTGCCAGGCATGTCGAAGTAAAGAGGCGTCTGATTGGCATTCCCGATTTGCCCAAGCAGGTAGCCGTTGTTGCGCCGCAAGTTTAGGACAAACCTCTGAAAACTGTGAAACTTTTCTTCGTACTCCTCCGGCAACTTCCGGCATATGCCCGTTCGCCTTCGGAGGGAAAAGCCTTTCCTCTTCATAAAGTTCGTTAGCCAGCACCTGCTCGCTTTAAAATGGCTCTGCATTAGCCCTTTTTCTAAGGCTAACTGCATAGCCTGCACGTGGAGCAGTTCTGTCGTCACGGGCCGCTGTGCCGCTCGCTGCTTAATCACATACTCGCCGAGCAGCGCTTCAATTTGTGGAAACCGACCCTGCTGTGGTCCACTGAAGCCTTTGCGTGAAGCTTTGCTGTCGACAATCTTCTGCTTTTGTTTCCGCCGGTCCCGCACGCACGTTTCGGGAACTCCGAACGACCGAGATGCGGCCCGATTTCCGTCCGTTTCTGCACACGCGATGACTTTTCTTTTAAAAGCGGCATCGTGGTGCACTCGAGTTTTTGGAGTCGGCCCTTCCACGCCGTCGATGCTAATGCACTACTAGATGACGAACTCTTCAGCACACGTACGAAGTGCCGCACATGGGAAACACATAGGCAGAAATGGCCGACGCGCCATGCCACGGAGGAAGGAAAGGTGCGCCATGCCGACGCACATAGGGGGCGGCCATTTTGGATTTGCCGATGGCAATAGATTGACCGTATTTTTTTTGTTCGTTTTCGATTCTAACGCGCATGCGATTTATGAACTAGCTTAACCGGAAAAAAGGTGCGCGTTAGATTCGAGTAATTACGGTATCGAATGTAGATCTGGCAGCTGTCTGAAATATCGGTCGTCTTTACATATTACTTCTACTGGACCATCGGCGGTGCCGCGCGACTGTCTGAATTATCGAGCATGTCCAAATTATCGGTGTCCAATTTATCGATCGGCGACTGTACTTTATTCACAATGCCTTAATCCGCACCCAGTTCTGCGTTGTCGACATCATCATCGACCATAATGAAAGCATCGCAACAGATGTCCCATGCGCTCTCTCATGTCGGAGTTGATGGCGTGCTGCCACAAATTGCCGCCGCAGTGGTTCTGTTCGGAAGCTTCAGGCTCGGCACCGGGCCCGGCGTCGACGAAGTCGGCCTCGCGAAAACAGTTTTCCGTGCATGTAGCCGTCACTGCCGCTCACGAAATATTCAGCATCTCCACAGCTCAATACCGGGAACGCCTGAAGTGGCAAGTTGGCTGCCAGGTGGTCAACAGCTATGAACAAGCGCTCCGCAACGCGGCACCTAATGCGTGGATTACGCCCGAGCCAAGTCACACTTTCACACTTTCGATTTGTTGAGTGGCAGGAAAAAGCGTGCAAGTCCTCCCGTCTGCCATCTTGACCAAACAACGAACACCAAAAGCGAGCAAGACGCGCACACGCGACACACATGCCAGAACACGTGGAACAGCTCTGGGCCCGTTTCTAGTTGGAAAACGAAAGTTTTGAATTAAAGCCAGCGTGGCTGGCGTCGCGGAGTGGTGGAGATGGGCGAAGGGGTTGTAATCAAGAGAGGAGAGCCGATTTGCGAGAGAAGGGCAAGGAGTTGCGATAAAGGAAAAAGAGGCGAGGATATGGCAAGATGGCGACCTTGAAAACCAAAACACGCAGGAAGGTTTTTCGGTTAGCTTGCTTGAAAGGTCTGGGATACGCGCCACTTGCGCGTACTTGAACTCGAAAGAGTGTCTGCGCGCGCAGAGGTCAAAGCACAGCCACTGGATCACCGTGCACGGCGGTGTTCAAAAAATCGGCGGCCGTGGTAAAAAGTCGTTTGTTGCGCCGGCTGGTTTGCGTGGCCTTACCAACTTCGTTATTTCGCGATTCGTTCCGCGCAAATAAACAGCCGTTTTCCTGCTTCTGCAAGCGTGCGGAGGGCATGCTGAGCCGAGTGCATAGTGAGCGAGAACAGGTGCTAAACATGAAACTAATCGCGAATTATCAGAATTGGTGGGGTAGCGTACGCGCGTGGACTAGACTCAGACGATCGGATAGAGTCGGTGGCCGACGATGTTGGCAAATGGTCTGGTCACTGCAGGTCGGCGACGCCAACGACAGTACCAGCCATCAAAAACAGAGGAGATGGCGGACCGGCCTTCGAAAGATAGGTGGCAGTGTGAAAACACTGGCCTCGTCTGGTGATGCAAGGTGCTCAGAGTAGTGGGGGGGGACAAAGAACGGAGCGGTGCTTAACAAAAAGCGGTCGGGGAGAGCGGCAACTAAGGGGGCGTGAAGGCAGGGTCGGCGTTTATCAATAAGAATGTGTGGGCACCTCGCTGATGCTTGATTGGTGGTCGAAAGTGGTTTTCCGGGAAGTCGGCAGAGCGCTGACCCCGTTCGCTGTAACCGATCGGTGGCGCTTGGAGACGTTCGTTGTAAGTGCGATTTTGTGCCATATAACCAATGTATATTTTCACGGTCATGCGGATATTGTTCGTTTTAAGTGAAAGTTAGTTTTAAGTGGGGCCATTATATGTGGGCTCGACTGTATTGAGATCTGGCTGTTAACAATCTACGTGGTTTTGTAGCTCATTTATGTTGTATTTATGTTTCTTTGACAGCGTGCTTGATCACGTGGCCTCTTTGTGTTGCGCACAGCGACTCTACATTGATTTCCTCTATCCATTATGTGCAGTGCTTCCCCTGCCTGCGTGCATCCGCAAGCAGCTACGGTGGAAAGTGACCAGCATCACGCCTCTACTCATCCGCCAGACAGTTGTCCGGTCAGGCTTCCGACTCACCCGAGGTTAGTGCCTGCACTGCGTGTTCTTTCCGTGTGTCCGTGTCATTTGCCGTGCTGCAACGAAATTTAAAATGCCTATGGCCAGACTGGAGAGGCTTGGGGGTATTCCTTGTTATGGCTTTTGCATTGCAGCTGTTTATACCTCCCGCCACACTCCCTTAGTGTTGCTATGGCCGTGCTGCTGTATTCGCTACTGCCAGTGAAGGCGAGCGTGAGCTTGCATCCCTCTCAGCTCTGCATGCTTGCTTTATTTGTAACTGCTACGCAATGGTGTTGCATAGCAGTTACACCGTGTGGTTGTCGTCTTTCCTGCGAACATGTCAATAAGTTTGATATTTGTGACATTTGATATATTTGTGATTGTGAAATAAAATTTCAGCATAACATGCTGCGTTTATACAGTAAGAAACAAGCCACCAGGCCAACCGAAAGATAAGGTATCTGGCAATATCTAAAAGCCCCGAAAAATAAAAAAAGGGAGTGATAGTTGAGGCTCTTGTTGCAATCTGCGGTTCGTATGTCAATCGTGCAGAATAGACAGGTGGCGCTATACGTTATACACTTGCTTTTTCGGCTCTTTCTCCGCACAATCTTTTGACTGCGGGCTTATCTCTGGAGTGCGAACGGCTTCCCTCGAACGGCTCGTTCTGAGCTCGGCCAGGTGGCAGCTTTCCGTGGCTCCAGTTACATGACCTTGCTACTTCTTCCTAGAGGCAAGCTCGGGTTGAAGGTCGCGGCGCAGCGATGCGCAGTCCGAATGCCGGGGGAGCGATGACAGGTGATGACTTCTTGCTTCCAGGACCGCCCAAAAGGACAGTGGTGGCCAGTTTGCCATTATTTTTAACGACCGGCACCGCAGTTTCGTCTCGCTGAGTGCAAGAAGACAGCGTAAAGGCGCGAAGGCTACAACACCGATATATCTCGGGCATGACATGCTAACCCGCTGTCACTTTTTGTGTTCGGCGGGAGTGTGCCTGTGGGCACGTTGCACAGAATGTGTAAACTTTGGAGAGAGCCATGATAGGAAAGAGTGCCAAAGCCTGCTGAAAACACAGGTATTGAGATTACGTCAGCCCTAAATGTAAAGCTTAAGTTGGCCGTAAACAGATTAGCTAACAAAATCTTGATGCGGACTGGCAGTGGCCACCTCTTTTTTTTGCTTACTGCAACGGAATGAAGAATAGATTGAATTCGCTTTCTCTCAGTCTAGGCTGCAATTGCTTGACTGATAAATCAGTAAGACTCTGTATGATGTGACTTTTGTCTGGGCCAAAAACCACCCTGTGGTCGATTAGTAAGACGAGGTTTTTTGTATAGGTTGCAATTGCTTGATTGATAAATAAGTAAGACTTCGTACGATGTGACTTTTGTCTGGGCCGTAATTACCGGGTGGTCGATCAGTGAGACGAGGTTCTTTGTATAGGTTGCAATTGCTTGACTGCTAAATCAGTAAGACTCCGTACAATGTAACTTTTGTCTGGGCTGTAACCACCCGGTGGTCGATCAGTGAGGCGAGGTTCTTTGTATAGGTCGAAATTGCTTGACTAATAAATCAGTAAGACTCCGTACGATGTAACTTTTGTTTGGGCCGTAACCTCCGGGTGGTCGATTAGTGAGACGAGGTTCTTTGTATAGGTTGCAATTGCTTGACTAATAAATCAGTAAGACTCCGTACGTTGTAACTTTTGTCTGGGCCGTAACCTCTGGGTGGTAGATTAGTGAGACGAGGTTCTTTGTATAGGTTGCAATTTCTTGACTGCTAAATCAGTAAGACTCCGTATGATCTAACTTTTGTCTGAGACAACCACCCGATGGTTGTACAGTCAGACGAGCTACTTTGTATAGGTTTCAATTGCTTGACTGATGAATCAGTAAGACTCTGTACGATATAACTTTTGTCTGGGCCGTAGGCACCCGGCGGTCGACAGTGAGACGAGGATCTTTATATAGGTTGCAATTGCTTGACTCATAAATCAGTAAGACTCCGTACGATGTAACTTTTGTCTGGGCCGTAACCTCCAGGTGGTAGATTAGTGAGACGAGGTTCTTTGTATAGGTTGCTATTGCTTGACTACTAATTCAGTAAGACTCCGTATCATCTAACATTTGTCTGAGCCGTAACCACACGATGGTCGATCAGTGAGACGAGCTTCTTTGTATAGGTTGCAATTGCTTGACTGATGAATCAGTAAAACTCCGTATGATGTAACTTTTGTCTGGGCCGTAACCAGCCAATGGTCGATCGGGGAGACGAGGTTCTTTGTATGTAGTAAGTAACCCCCGAATGCAAAGATGTTACTTGACTCGTACTTGACTCGTTCTTGACTCGTTCTTGACTCAAGACAGTCTTGCCGGTCGCCATAAATCGTTCTCGAACTTGCGGATGACTTGAAGGGGACTTGGCTCGGTCGAAGTCAGGATAAGTTTCAAGTCAGCTGCAGGGCTAGCTTGAAAGCGACTTCACGCGTTATTCCAGCATGGCCACCTCTCGAATGGACGTCGCGTGAAAGGTGACCGCTTTTGAGTTTGCTTGCCTCGCCATAAGCGTAGCATTTTTTGAGGCGCAGTGCCTGCCTAAGATTCTTGGAACCGCTTTACGTGACCAAGGAAATCCGATGGAGTTCTACGACGAGCAATGATTCCGCGCTAGGTACAGATTCATGAAGAACGCCGTGGGCCAGCTGCTCGTTATGTTGCCGCTCCGTGAAAATGGGGACAACCGAAGACAGCCCGTGCATCCAGTGTTACAGCTACTGATGGCTCTCAGGTTTTACAGCGCTGGCACATTCCAACCAGTCACCGGAAATTTCGTCCGCATTCCGTAGTTGACAGTGTGCCGTGCAGTCGGAAAAGTTACGCTACTCATCGCAAAGCACCTGTACGCGATGCTGGTGCGCTTTCCACAGCCGGCGGACTGTTATGAAGTGGCTGAGTTCCCTTGCGTTACAGGTTGTGTCGACTACACACACGTGCGTATTAATAGCCCCGGTGCCGACAACGCCGAAGTGTTCCGTAACTGCAAAGGCTATTTCTGTTTTTCTATAACACGACGACATTTCCGTCTCTTTCGGTGAAAAAAAAAAAATTGACTCGTTGCTGTGTCCGTGTGCCTCGTCTATTCTTTCGTCCCGTCTAGGGCGCTGTTTCTCGCTCAGAAAGGCATCGCTTGTAGCACAACGCTACGTAAAATTACACGCACATAAAAAAAGAGGTGCCCCTATCACGGGTTTTTTTATCCGCGTCACCATCATGCAGCGATACATTGCTGCACCCCGCGAGACAGAATTCTGCTGAGGGCAATGTCCTGACCCCCGCTTTTTCTCTTGTTTACCAAGCTAAACAAAAGGATACGAATCACATTTGTTCCCAGAACTTGTTTTTTTTTTCATAATAACTGCGACCTAGCCCATTACAGGCATGCACACAGGCGAACAGAAAGGCAAATAATGTGAAAATCGTGTCACCTCGTGAGCCAGGTCAGCACAAATACATGCCATGGCGTTCGATTGAGAAAAAAAAAACGACGAAAGAGCCCAACGCGATGCTTGTTTCGCCTCCAAACAAGCAACCGTGGAGAAACGCACCGCATTTGGGTGGCCACTAAAACCAGCGGGCAACGAACGCTTTACAGAAGCAACACTGCGCATCGCTGTGGTGGCAGGCACCACGTGCCGCTCGTTAGCCGTAAAATGGCAAGAATATGCTTGTGGCCCTTCGTTTTTATAGTTATTTTAAAATGTATGGTCTTTTTTTGGTGTAATGCATGCTTTACGCGAACAACTATATTAATACCCTCGTTAGCAGGCAAGCAGCGTGTTTCTGTTTTCAAGCTCGTTCTTGACTTGACCAAGCAAGACAGCCTGAGCATCTATGAAACGCGAAGGCTGACTTGGGCGTTTTGAAGTCCGCTGCTTGCTTCGCGCCGACTTGCTCAAGTTAAGTTGAAGTCGCGAGCCAAGTAACATCTCTGCATTCGGGGGTAACAGTGCTCTAGGCTCTAACTTAAGGGGACACACGGTGCTTGAAGGCCGAAAAGTTTCCAAAAAATTGATTTTTTGAAGTATCTTTAAAAAATAATATATAGAATCTGAAGGTGTTTCTAAAATGCTATTGCTATGTAATGCGTATTTGTCGAGTAATTCGGTCTCAAAGTCAGTTTCGTGACCATGTCCACTCAAAAAACCACCTCAATAACGCGTATTTGGAATTGCTGGCCCCGCATCGCACGAAAGAGGGAAAAGAAAGAGAGCGAGGAGGACACCTGTGCCAGCCTCAGGATTGCTCGGCGGCCATTGGTTCACCTCTGGAGGTGACGTGCTGGTGACCGCAGCGACACCGGCTAAACTTGCACACCTGCACCTCATTTTCAGCCATGCTCCCCGCTCTGCCATAGACCCTCTCCGGCTAAGCGGCGCAGCCCCCGCCATAATCCGTGGTAACGAGGTAAGGGGTCTGGGTTACACAATACGGTAGCGAAGAAAAGACTTCAGTTGGGTGCTCTAGCTGCCTATTCAGACGCCGCAGAAGCCTCGCTGAGGGCATTGTTAACTCCCCCAAGATTGCCTGCTTCGTGGTCATTTGAAGCAAGGACATGGGGAGAATTTTCGCTCAGCCGCCGATCTATTGAAGACACGCCGGCAGTCACTGTCGTCACGGAAACACAGAGAAGTGTTTACGGCTGTTCCATCGTGCTGAAGCACCCTCACCCCTTCGGTGTCTTGGATGGATCGTTACCATGCGGCGAGGGCGCCAGCGAGTGAATTTCGATAAGATGGCGATAGCACGGTGATGGTTTCAAGTGAGTGAAGAGGTTCCGACTGTCAACGTGAAGTGCCTCCGTGACGCATTCAGTACAGACAGCAGCAATGCAACTAATACGACGTGGATTGCAACTAATACGACGTGGATCGTCCTATTAGTTGCTTTACTGTAGCTGGCGAGCCACTCGTGCGCATCCGTCCGTGTAAGAGGTCGACGAGGAGGCACTTCACATCAGATGGGCC